TAAGTTGTGTATTTCAAGAAGTGTTGTCTTTACCAGCTCAAATATCTTTTTATTAAAAATAACATACAATATCTATACTAAAGCCTTAACAATTCAATTATAAAACTAACATTTAATCTACAGATCTAATATGATTTTGAAATTAATAGTCTAAACTCGAATCCTTTCTTTCTTCATTTTTCTCACATTCAATCAAGAAAAATTGGAAAGATTTTCAGCTGTCAGATTGATTTGACAAGATCTTTGACTTCTCAAGTGAGATTGAAAAAAACGTCTTTTCACATGAAAAGAACTTTCGTTTCTTTGCGAAAGAGATGTGGGAATTTTTGAACTTTCAAAAACTCTTAACTATGACTTATGTAAGTCTAGAGTTTGCAACTCTCGAAAACGGTTGGCCAATACTGGCAAAAACTGAAGAAATACCGGATACATCTTAAATCATAAATTTTCACATTATTTGCCCCAAAAACCAGCCGATCTAGTAAAAAAGACCACCGCTGTACGTTCAGATTCATTGCGGCTAGATTCTTCAATGTCATTACGCCTTTTGATTGATACCAACCTATTTACCCTTCTTTCTACATCAAACAGCCACCAGAAAGTCAAAATACTTGATTCTGGTGCCCAGAACCTGCTTCAGAAGCCATTATATCTTGACAATCTAATGTTTGTTTCTATTGTGTTCTTTTTCAGATCAACGAATGTGCAGTCCTATTCGGTGCTCGATATGGCTTATCCCAAAACAGCGAACTATTCATTCTGCTGGCTGCTCTGCTCTCAGCTGCACTAGTGCTGTCAATTCTGCTGCTCTGCTTGTACTTCTTCCGAGAACGGCAATATAAAGGCTCTTATGTCACCCGGGAGCATTCCCGGACGCCATTGACAATGACAAATCATATCAGTTGCTCGTCAAGTACGAGTGCAGCCAGCGAACCGTTGACTCCGCCAATGCCACCACCACCGCCAAAGGCAACGGCTGCTTATTTTGGGATATAGAGCAAAAATTTCGAATTCCAGAATCTTGGGTAAAAAATAAGAAAGACATCTTCCTGCTAGAGATTGAACCAGACTAACCCTATGTATATAATATACATTGAAACATTGAGTTGCAATGCGTAGCAGGTTCATGCTCTCTTCAAAATTT